GGATCTGAACTCATGAAGATGAGTCTTCTTGACTCCAGGCCTGGCACTCTATACACTGCACCACCTTGCTGCATATGTAAGGAATTTACACTGAGGACTTTTTCTGCTTATTAGATCCTTCTTATACTTTTCAAACCATTAGGAGAAGCGATGTTCCTTACCCCCATGCTTCACGCCAGCTTAAGGGTGCATTCCTAAGAAACTGTGTGATAGACTAAGTTATTGAAACTGCAGATTCTGCCATTACCCATAACCACTAGGATTTATAAAATCATATTTTATTTGGTGTCACTTAATGGTACATTCCATATGTATGCTTCTTCCCCATGTCCCAGCAATGTACCATTTACATCTTCTTGACAAAAGCCAGGGAAGGGATACATAATGTTGGTATTCTAGGAATATAGTGTTTTTAATTCTTGAGGACAAGGCAGAACCCTATAAACACCAACACAACTCTGAATAAATCCTATATAGCAAATTGTGTAATATCAGGTAAAAGACTCATAGATTTACAGATGGAAGGGATGCTAGAAGGACCAAGGCCACTCCCCACATCACTTTACAGATGAGGAAACTGATACTAAGAGACTTGCTGAAGCTAATGTCTGAGGCAGGCTTTAAACTCGGGTCTTCTTTATTCTACCTTTATGTATTCAGTAGAAAAAAATATTGACAGTTGAAAGGATCTTTTCCCCTGATCCTTAGCAGTAAGAGTACTTCTATATCATTCCAAACACTTCTATCAAAAGCTCTTTTATAAGATGCACTGATGTGGAAAGTGTCCTGGTGTGGGACTCAGGCCACTTGGGTTCTAGTGCTATTTCTGTTACTAGCTGTGTGAATTTTGGTGAATCACTTAATTGTTCAGAGCCTCATTTTCCTCATCTGTAAAATTAGGAGCTAGGACTCCGTAACCTCTAAAGTCACTTTCTTTAATGTTTCATAGCTCATGTTTGTGTTTGATGTAGAGGCAAGGCCTCCCCTCTATTTCGGATCTGCTTTTTATCACCCAACCTGGGATGATGGATAAAGAGAGCATGATGAAATGTGGATTACTGGGACACATACCATTCGACTTGAGAGAATAGCTGGTGGTAGGAGGAGTGGAGAGGAGGGTGGTGGTGGTAAATGATGGGTTGGGACTGTGAGAGAAAGGAAAGGGAGTGGCCATCTGTAACAGCTTGAATTTTATTTTATTTTTTTGCTTAAAGTGGTGTATCATGTGCTTCTCTTAATCTGTCATGGCAAATATAATAAATATAGCAAACTGATCTCTGTTCTCCAGAGCTGTGAATGTGAAGCCAGTGGTATCAGTGAACGAGGATTAGGAAAGCTTGGGTGGAATTGGAGGTAGGATAGGAATCTTGGGCTGCCAGCTCAGCTACTAATGAGCTGTTACCTTGAGCAAGTCTCTTACCTTGTCTAGTTATCAATTCCCTTATCTACAAAATGAGGGAATTGGACCAAGTGGCCTCTTGGGCCTCTTTTAGTTTTAGTTGTTATTTTTTGTTATGTTTATTTGTATGTTATGACACAGTGGTATGATATAGTGGGAGGTAGGGTGGTATAGTGAACAGACAGACAACTGGCTTTGGAGTCCAGAGGAGCTAGGTTCAAGTCCTGCCTCAGACATAGGCTGTATGGGTGACCCTGGGAAAGTCATTTAATCTTTACGGTTCTTAGTTTTCTCATCTGTAAAAAGATGGTGTTGGACTAGATAGCCTCTAAGGTCCCTTGTAGGCCTAGATCACTGTTCTGTGACTCATTTGAACACTAATGTTATTTCCCTATCCGAAGACCTTACCTTCCTAGGTTTTCACCATTAGGGCTAGAAGATACTCGAGAGGTCATCTAATCCAACCCTTTCATAGATTAGGAAACAAATGTCCAGAGAAATTAAATGACTCCAGAGGTGGGGAACCTGCAGCCCTATTGACTATTCAGTCAGAGGGCCACACTTGAGGACCTAGAGGGCCACATGTGGCCTTGAGGCTACAGAATCGCCACCCTTGAATCTAATTCTAATCTTTCTGAGTTCTAATCCTGATCCTTAGACTTCAAAATCTGTCTTCTACTATACCCTGCTGATGTCTTTCACAAGTCAGATGTCTAATACGTGCACAAATAGATGTATTTTTGATTGAGTATTGATTTAGGAGCACAGTTCTGCTGATACCAAGAGAGAAAAAGAAGGGTCTTTACCTGATGGCTCATTATAGGACATTTTCAGGCATTGCTAGGGTGTCAAAGACTACAGAGGGACACAGTTTCCTGTGTTTGATTTTGTGTATGGAAGTTATGCTATGCATATCTTTGAAATGACATTAAGAGATACTTTTTTTTTCCAGCTGATTTGTCCTTTCTTTCCCCAAAGAAAGTTGGGACAGGGGAAAGAAAACTGGGAATTAGGTGACCAGAAAGTAAAAAGTAGTCCCAAGTCATAGTTTTTGAGGACTACCCCCTTCAGACACATCTCAACTAGTGTCTAATTTTGTTCTAGGATAACAAAAAGTGGAACAAAACACTTACGTGAAACACCATTATAGGATGTGTGTGTATGTGTGTGTGTGTGTGTGTGTGTGTGTGTGTGTGTGATATTTCTATGGGAACAATATTATAAAAGCTATTTAGCTATTTTGGCTTATTGGCCAAATAGCATTCTTTTTTTCTCTTTTTTTTTTTTATGAGGCAGTCAGGGTTAAGTGACTTGCCCAAGGTCACACAGCTAGTAAGTGTTAAGTGTCTGAGGCTGGATTTGAACTCAGGTCCTCCTGACTCCAAGGCCACAGCTCTATTCACTGCGCCACCTAGCTGCCCCTAAGAGATTTTTTTTTGGCTTTTTTAGGCAATTGGGGTTAAGTGACTTGCCCAAGGTCACACAGCTAGTAAGTGTCAAGTGTTGGGTCTGAGGCCAGATTTGAACTCAGGTCCTCCTGACTTCAGGGCCAGTGCTCTATCCACTGCACCACCTAGCTGCCCCTCCAAATAGCATTCTGAAGGGATTGCAGAACTGGAGTTGTGTTTGGCTATGATGTGGTAATGGAATTATTGTGAAGCAAATGATCAGAATAAATGTGGATTGATTCCTTGGTTTAGGAATAGGAAGACCTAATTTCTAGGCTTTCCTCAAATACTCACTGGCTGTGTGATGCTGGGCAAATCATTTTAGCCTTCTCAGCCTTGCTTTCCTCCTGAGGAAAATGGGGCTGAAAATATCTGGCAGCTACCTCACAGGATTTTTTGGGAATTAAATAATAAGATATGTTAAGAGCTTTGCCAATCATAAATCGCTGTATGAATTATCAGTTATCATCCTCATCATCAGGGCAATGTTAGGCAGTACATGGTGACACATTTGTTAGAGGCTTTTGGGATTAGGATAAAGAAATTTCAGGATTTAGGAGAAAGACTTATGGATTGTTCCTGGCGTGTATTTGAAAATTGAAATCTTAGCTCAGTCTTAAATGACTGGTGAATAACTTAAGTGTTTTGGGCTGTAATGTGGATTGTTCATGGATTTTATTGTATACATAAATGTGCATATGTTTATTTAGAATCATGGATATAAAAGACTAAAAATTAGATAAAACATGCATAAACTTGCCAGAGTTATTTCATTTTAATATAGTGAATGATCTTAGATAGATAACATCAGTGAAAATAAGCGTTAGAATATGCCCAGGTTGCTACTTACGGGAATGGGCCTAAAAACAAGGAATATGTGATAGTCTTTGATGTCTCACTAATTTGAACTGGTTTTCATTTTATTAGGTGTTGGCTGAAACTTGGTCCTTAAAATTGCCTCTAAAGATAGGCCCCATTAAACAAACTGATAGTATGAAAAGCTTGTAATGGAGGAATGTCCGAACCAGGGGTGGAGAACCTGCGGTCTCCATGCCACATGTGGCCCTCTAGGTCCTTACGTGCGGCCTTTTGTGAAGTTTGGTTTCAGTCAAAGGGCTGCACTTGAGGACCTAGAGGGCCACATGTGGCCTTGAGGCTGCAGGCTCCCCACCCCTGAGAGAAAACCATAGTTTCAAACACTTTAGTAGCATCATTGACATGCAACTGATAGGAAATGTACAACTGTTTATTCGTTACAGAATTTCCCTCTAAAATTTCCATTTCATAAAACTTTGTTAGACTAGTTTTAAGGTGCTGAAAATATTTTAAAGTAATTCTTTTACAAAATATTCTCTAATTTGGATTTTTAATTTATATTGATTCAACTCTCCAATTCACTTGGGATATCCTTTTTCTTTGCTTTGAGTTTCCAGAGGAAATTATGTCTATCCTCCTCCAAGAATAAATCCATGGTGTTCATATTTATTCCAAAGTTGAGACATCATGTGGGGCTCTGGGCAGCTGCCTTTTTGAGACCCCAGCTGCTTGAGAGCACAATACTGTCTGCTGGTACTCAATAGGTTTGTAAATCACAACCAAATCAGTAACATGATGGGGTTTTTTTTTTCTGAAATGGTCAAATAGTAGAGTGCACAAGAAAAGATTCAGTTTTGAAACAAATTCAGGTCCACATGTGCATCTCTCTATAATTTTCCATCTGGAAGGTATTTCTGAAATGTTTACTAGGCTCTGATAATATAACTGAGGGATACCAACTCTCTCCATTAGATTATAAAAGGAAAAAGAAAAGAAAATTAGCAGCGTTGAGAAAAAAATGTCTCCAGTGTTCCTGGTGAGGCTCCATCTCAGGTCTGTACATAGGCCAATCCAGAAGACAACTATTGAACTTGGTTCCAGAAAGCATTTACATAGTAATCTGCTAAATTTTTTAACCCTTCCTTAGTCCTCCTTAATTCCCCAATTCACTTTATATGCTGAAGAGAGGGTGAAGAGAAGACAGAGCACTAGAAAAAAAGAAGGAAAGGACAATTCAATAGGGGACATATATACACACACATATATATATATGTGTGTGTATGTATATACGTTTATATATATATATATATATATATATATATATATATATGGAGAGAGAGAGAGAGAGAGAGAGAGACATAATTATATGCTAGAAATCAAAGAAGGGACAACATTCTGGTAGATGAGAAGTAGAAGCTGAAAGCTTAAGAGTTTGAGACAAAAAAACAAAAACAAAAAACAAAACTAAGAAAAGGGAAGAGCTTAGGATATGAAGACATTTTCTAAGAAAGGTTAGAAAAGAGCTCTGATGAGGAAAGGGAGAGGAAGTTACTAGATAAGGATCAAAGGAATAAGAAACAGTAAAGAAGAATGAAGTGTGCATGCAGAAGGAAATCAAAAGTCAAAATACATTAGAGACACATCTATTTTTTAAAATGACATTTAAAATGGTTAAAAGGGAATATAAAATAAAAGATGTAAAGAGAGAGTACATACCAACTAAAGAAAAAACGATGTAAAGAACCTAAAAGAGTTAGAAGAGGAAAGGCAAAAGCAGCCCTCAGAATTTAGCTGATCAGCCATTTTATTTCATCAAAGCACTAACCCCCCATTTCATACTGAAATTTAACACAGAGAAATCAGATGCTGCTGTTAGCTACTGAAGAGATGAGAGGATTAAATCATCTTTGGTAAAATATGGATGGTAATCTTCCCTAGGTGGGAGGAGTAAGTAGGTTCTGTTATCCAGAACACTGTACCCTCTGTATAATGGACCACTACTCACAAGTGGTCTCTTTACCATGTGAATTTTGTCACCATCTCATTTAGTCCCTCTCCCCAAAGCCTCAAGGAACCATTTTTCTCATGTCTGCCATAACTCTGCCGTACCCTGGCCTTGGCAAGCTTCTGGCTTTGGGTCCCCCCCACTGATAGGGGATACGACGGGGGTACGCAGTGTCTTGTTTGACTTCAGATCATCTCAGACACCCACTGCTGCCTCTGCCCTCTCACACATTCGTTGTAGAATACGGTGAATACTGGTGAAGCTGGGCCTGTCTGCAGGCAGCTTGCTCCAACAGAGACGCATCAGGTTGTAAAGCTCTAGCGGGCAGTTCTCGGGGCAGGAGAGGATGTTGCCATCCCTTACATAGAAAATCACCTCCTCGTGTGCCATCCCATAGTAGGGCTGCAGACCGTAGGAGAATATCTCCCAAAGGACCACCCCATAGGCCCAGACGTCAGACTCTGTTGTGTAGCGGTTGTAAAAAATGGACTCTGGGGGCATCCAGCGGATGGGGATGGCATCATTCTCATTGGCTTTGTAGTAGTCTGCTGAGTAGATGTTCCTGGAGAGGCCAAAGTCAGCGATCTTCACCACCATGTTATTCCCCACCAGACAGTTCCTGGTGGCTAAGTCCCGGTGGACAAACTTGCGCTCTGAAAGGTAAGCCATGCCAGCTGCTACCTGCCTAGCAATGCAGAGCTGCTCAGCACAACATAGGGGAGGGGGTCCTGGGGTGGAGAGTCGGACCCTGGTAGCCAAGTTACTATGGCTGAGGTTGCACACTGTCCGAGGTGACATGTTTCGGAGGTACTCATTGAGGTCCCCATAGGCCATATATTCAAACAGCAAGCACATTGGCTTACCGACGGCACACACTCCTAGAACCAAAACAGTATGGTCAGCAAGCTCTATTCAAGTTAAAAGTGACATGGAAAGTAAAAAAAAGTAATGAGATCTTGGGCCTCATTAAGACTTTTTTTTTGATTAATTAGTCTTTTGATTCTTGGTGACCCCTCTTGGGGTTTTCTTGGCAAAGATACTGGAAGGCTTTGCCACTTCCTTCTCCAGCTCATTCTGCAGATGAGGAAACTGAGGCAAACAGGGTTAAGTGACTTGCCCAATGTCACACAGCTAGTAAGTGTCTGAGGCCAGATTTGAACTCAGGTGCTATGCTCTATCTGCTGTGCTGCTTAGTTGCCCAAAGAAAGACATAGAGACAGAAAAAATTAGAGGTGATAGTTATATAAATCACCTAACCTCTCTGGGTCTCAATTTATTCATCTGTAAAATGAGGGATTAAACTAGGGGATTCATGAGGTCCTTTCCAGCTGTCTATTTATGATCTATGACTTAATTACTGCCTTGCCTTAGCAGGCAACGAATTCTCTGTAAGTTAAGATATTCACTTGTTGAGAATGCTATAGGGGATTTCTTTCTTTTTCATGCTTCAGGGGAGACTTGGACTGGCTGACCTCTGAGATTCCTTTCAACTCTTAAGAGTCAAGAACTGACAAAATTACATTTTTTGCTTCATTGTTGTTTCAGTCTGAGGCGGATGGTGGAAAGAGCATTGGACCAGGAGCCAAGTCCCACCCCAGCCATTTAATGGTCAAGTAACCCTTGGTAACGCTTTACACCTTAGTCCAATTCATTGATCTATACAATGAGAATAATAGTACCTGCCCCATTAATCTTACAGGTTGCTGAAACACTCAAATGTGATAATATGTGTGCAGGGATTTGAAAACTAGGAGGTGCTATATAACTGTAAAAGCATTATTGCAATTATTTTTCCATCAGTGATGATAATAGAAAAGATGGCATATGAATGAAGATGTTAAGGGATTCGTAGGTAACACTTTAAAATGCCCTAAGATTTTTGGAGGCATGAAAAAGTAGAGAATTTTTGAAATTCTTATCCTGAGCTATTTTGAGAAAATGCCATTTTCATGTGGTTTAGGCGGGTAAAAATTTGAATATAAAATCTTTCCCTTTCTCTCTGACACCACCCTTCTAACCCCTAACTTCCAACCCTGATCCTGAGATTTTACTAAGATTTCACGTTCTAGGGGCTTCACCAATCAGCATATCCATATAGACACAATTAGAAATTAATAAATAACTATACCTTATTACTCTGGACAATTGGATGTTCCTTCCAGAAATTTCTCTAGAAATAAGATACTATTCTAGCTGTGAAGTTATTTAATAAGATCCTGCCTGTGGTTTTCTAGGTTGTTGATGGCACTTCCCCCAAAGCAGCAAATATACAGAGGGTCTGAGGAGAAAGAATGGAATTGGTGTGAATAATGCCTGGGCATAAATTCCCCATTAGACTTTAAGTAGTTGTGTGAAGCCTGGGCAAGATACTTCTCTGAGCCTCAGTTTTCTAATCTGTAAAAAGGGATTAATAATAGCACTTACTTCCTAGGATTGTTGTAAAGGTCAAATAAGATAATATATGTAAATCATTTTGTAAACTTTAGTTACTATTGAATTACTGATAATAACTAACAATTATTATCTACTATATACAAGGCACTGTGTTAGGTGATAGTCTTTGCTGTCTGGCACATGACAATTATAACTGATTGTGTTTTGTTTTGTGGGGTTTTTTTTTACATCAAACCTCTCTTAAGAGTATTAAGGTTTTCCCCCTAACAGTTCTCACTATATTCCTGGATGGTAGGTCATCTTAAGGTCAAGCAGAAAAAGCCATAATCTGGGAATGAGAAACCCTGAGTTCTGGGTGTAGCTCTGTCACTAACTGATCTCAGAACAAGTCTCTGCAGCTGGCTGCAGTTTCCTTATCTGCAAAGTGATGAGGTGGGGACCAGATGATTTAAGGGTCTCTTAAGTTCCAAAATTCTATGAATATCTCAGGCACTTATGCCTTTTTCTAACTCAAGGATTGAGAAACTGAAGCGTGTTGGAATGTCTGTGCTGGGACATACTTATTGTACTTAGAAAGGACTGATGTTTGATCCAGGGACCTAAAGACCCTGATCTAGGAGTCTAACTAGGCTCCTTTCATAGAAAATGTTACCCTTTATTATAGATTTAAAAAGAATAGGAAGTTGTACATAATAGCTTTGCTGTTTCATGTGCAATCCATCTTTTTAAAAAATTATACCATGTTATGGAAGTGCTTGTTTTATTCCATAAATTAAAAATAAAACAATTTTTTTTAAAAAGAAATGTTATCCTAGCCTGAGTGTCCCTTAATGTTTGTCCAGCTCTTTTTCTTCTCATTGCTATTTCCTTCCAAGAAATAGAAACTGTTAATGAAATATGGTTGAGAATACAACTGAAAAGAATGATTATCAGGAGAACCAGACCGAGTGTTTACAGTGCACAGCCAGTGGCATTTCAATGCATTCCTCCACTAACGTCAGTCTCATTCTGAGCTCTCTACTGGGCAATATAGACAATCCTGTTGCTAGGGGTTACTTCGCCATGCATGCTGTAGGGCTTATCCCTAAACCATGCAAAGTCTGTGACTGAAAGACAATGCTTCATTACTCCTAGTGGTCTGGGTTATTGTGAAATCCTAAATGCTTTCAACAGAGCTGTGTTTGGAGAGACAGTAAACAGGACCTGGGATTGGAGCTTGAAAGTCATCTACTAGAAGTTTCTAAGTCCCCTGGGGGTTCCAGTCCAGTAGTTTCCCTTTCACACTTTAAAAGAGCAAGTTACATTAGGACCTCCCTATTACCCTGTTCTTGGGGTCCAGACTGTGACAGTAGCTTGGAGGAGGAGGAACAATGAAAATAACAGCTAACATTTATATAATAATGCTTTTGAAGTTTTAAAAATTCTTTCCAAATATTATCACATTTGGTCCCCACAGCAACCTGGGAAGTAGATGCTATCATTGATCCCCACTGAAGGAAGTAAGTGACTTGTCCAGGGTCACCCAGCTAGTAAGTGTTGGAGGTGGAACTTGGACTCAAATCTTCCTAACACTAGGTCCAGAGCTCCACCCCTTCCCAAGTAGCCAACCTTTGTGATATAGTAAACAATGCCCTGTGATGAATATAGAGTATTTCAGGAATATAGGATCATTCGTAGATTCACAGTGGGAAGAGATCTTAGAGGTCATTGAGCCCAACTCCCTCATTTTACAGATGAGGAAACTGAGGCCTGTAGGAGTGAAGTGACTTTCCCAGGGTTACACAGCTAGTAGTAGTAAGCAAGGATTTGAACTCAGTTCTTCCTGAGTCCATGTCCCATAGTATCTCAGGAATATGGTGTATATTAGAAATAAACCAGAGACAGTAATGGACAGAACCAAAAGGTTCACAGTAGAACTGTGAGGTTAGTTATTTTTCTTTTAAATAGAGGGTGTCATAAAGGAGATCTAGGAAGTAACACAGAGTAAGGGAAAAGAAGGGCCAATGGATTAATGCATTTGCCTGGTTCTTTACATCGGAATCTGGGAAAGCAGAGATGTCTAGTGTCAAAATATTAATAAGCTTATGTAAAGGTTATATGTGAAAGTGTTTTGTAGATGCTTCCAATACACAATTGAATAAGATTTTTAAAAAAATCATTTGTAAACTTGCATTTCCACAAAACTCTTAAAAATTAAAGAGCTATGAGGATAGAATAGAATATATGTGAAAGCGGTGTATAGCATTCTATAGGAAGGCAACATGGTGGAGTCAGAAGGGCCCCAGCACTAACGTCAGGGGATATAGGGTGTGAATCCTGGTTCTGCTACTTACCATCTGTTGAACAAGTCACCTAACCCCTTTGAATTTCAATGTCTTCATCTATCTAGTTGTATTACATTTGGCTGGCAGCTAGGTGGAGTAGTGGATAGAGAGCTGTACTTGAACAGGAAGTCCTGAGTTCAAATACTGCCTCAGGAACCTTTCTAGCTATGTGACCCTACCTTAGTTCCCTCATCTGCAATCTGGCGATAATAATATAGTACCTTCTCACAGGGTTGTTATGAGAATCAAATCATGCACACACACACACACACGTACGTATATATGTTATATATAATATGCATATGTATATACACATACATGCGTACATATACATATCTATATAGATACACATATATGTATACACACATATATATGTATATGCATATATACACATGTATACGTATATATACATGCATGTGTAGAGATGTCTATATAGATACATATATACATATATACACACACACTAGCTAACATTTGTATAGTGCTTACTATGGGACAGGCACTGTGCTAAGTGCTTTACAATTATTATCTCATTTGGTTCTCACAGCAACCCAGGGAGATAGGGCTATTATTATTCCCATTTTACAAATGAGAAAATGGAGGCAAACAAAGATGAAGTAACTTGCTCAAGGTCATACAGCTAGTCAGTGCCAGAGGATGGATTTGAGCTCATGATTTCCTGACTCTAGGCCCAATGCTTTATTCACTGTGGCCTCCTAGCTGCCCTATATATATGTGTAACTTCGTAAACTTAATACGCTATATAAACATTAGCTGTAATAACTATAATAATTATCTGACATGGTTGTTGCAAGGGTTATATCAGGCAATGAATGCAAAGGGTGATATGAATGTTTTCTATTATATACATATAAAATATCGGGAAGCAATATGGGCCTTAAATGTGCCTTAAGAACCAAATCAAAAAAGAAAGGATTGAGGCAATAGGGAAGTTTTATCACAGGGTGGCTAGCTTCTTCTTGGAATTATACCAAACCCACCTTTTGCTTACCTATAGTTTCTTTTTTCCCCCCTGAGAAATGCAAAGTGTTTTCCAGACGTCTTGCTCTTCCTGATACCAGCCAAAAAAGGTGTTGCATGGATGGAGAAACTGAGTTGCATGAGCAGTGATGTCAGTTATCATTGGGGGGATTGTCATAGAATAGTAGATCACCTGACTTCTAGTGCATGCATCTAAGCACTGGACACCTGTTTCACTATTTCTTGGCCTATGAGTACCCCGTGGGGTTTAAGGAAGGCTCAGTGGTGCCATGTGCAGATAATACAGAGGCAAGAAAGAGAGAATCAAGGAATTTTAGAGCCAGAAGGTACATCTGAGATCATCTATCACCAACCCATTATAATATTATCTGATAACTGGCCATCCAGAAAGGAAGCAAGAAAGGGAGAATATGGAAAAAGAAAAAAGGAAGAGGTAAAGCAAGATGCCTTAAAGGCCACCAGCAATTAATTCTGGTGATATTCACTGGAACCAATGGAATAAATCACCTATCCCTGCAATATACTGCTCTTGTGTGAGAGACAGCATGGTATAGTGCAGGGGCAGGGAATCTGTGGCCTCGAGGCCACATGTGGCCCTCTAGGTCCTTAAGTGTGGCCCTTTGACCAAATCCAAATCTCACAGAACAAATCCCCTTAATAAAAGGATTTGTTCTATAAAACTTGGACTCAGTCAAAAGGCTGCACCCCATGTGGCCTCGAGGCTGCAGGCTCCCCACCCCTAGTATAGTGCAAAGGGCATTGGAAATAGTGTCATGGAAGCCCAGGGCTCAATTCCTTGCTATGCTGCTTAACCTGTGTGACCTTGGGTGTAAGTCATTTCCTGTCCTCCACATCTCAGCATCCTCATGTGTTTGCAGGGAGACTGAAGATTTTGCTGGCCAAAATATAGCACCTAGGCTTTGATGCAAGAGAATTTGAGTCAGAGAAGTTATAAGCTAAAGAGGTTTCTCCATCCACCTAGTCTGATTTCCTGGCTTTATTATGCATACCTGTCAGCAGCAAATGGAGGGAGGTTGAGGTTTTCACTGGCCAAAGTCTTCACCAAAGTCTACAGGCTTCTGGGAACCTCACATATGATGGGGGAATGCCACAGGTACTACCTTCAAAATGAAGAGCTTGCCACATCTGGCCCTCACTTGAGGACCTAGAGGGCCATGTGTGGTTTCGAGGCCATAGGTTTCCCCACCCCTGGAACTTAGACTCAAAGATCTCTGAAAACCAGTTTGGTTTTAAATCCCCTGATCCTATAATTGCTAATTCATTGTGCCCCACCAGCAATGCCTGACCACTGTAATCCTTTTCATTGCAAATTATCCAAACTTCCCTAAATGATTGATGGGCTGCCCTTAAAGTCACCATCATCGCTCATCTGAGTTTTGGGAGGGGCAACTTGAGGAATAATCCATAGCTTCCCAAAGAAAGGCCTGATCATGCATTTTCCTTTCTTACCTAGGAGCCTAACAATGTTTGGATGGTCAAATTCTGCCATGAGGGCTGCCTCCCTCTGGAAGTCTGCCTGCATGTCTGCTGAGGCTTCTTCTTTCAGCATCTTCACTGCCACCATGGTAAAAGGCTCGTAAGGTCGTAGGCCGGGAGCTCTGAGAATCAAAAATGGAGATCAATGTTGATGGATACTGTAACCTACCTTCATCTGCCATACAATTACTGTGCTGGTCCAAATAAACGCTACAGCAACAATGCTAGGTTTGACCTCTCCCCAGTTCTGGTTTCAACATGAATATGGTCTAAAATTGATGTTATTTCAGTGATTTCTTTTCCTTTTCAGAAAGATTTTATTTTAGGGGTGTGGTTTATACTCAGACCAATACGAATGCCTCTTCAAAGGAGAAGATGAGGTTAAGGTTTACAAAGTAATTAAGTATATTATCCCATTTGGTCTTAAAAATTCTGTGAGATAATTGCTATTATTATCTCCATTTTACAGAAGAGGAAGCTGGGGGAATCAGAGGGTAAATGACATACTCAGAGTCACACCACCAGAGAGTGGCTGGGCAAAAAATGTGAAGCCAGATCTTCCTGATTCTGTGTAGAGAGAACTTTACCCACTAGGCCCTTCTATCCACCTCCACCTGTCATTCTTAATCTTTTTGTGTGTGTCATGGATGCATTTGACAGTCTGGCAAAATCTACAGATTCCTTTTCAAAATAATCTTTTTAAATGATTGAAGGAAGTGCTAAATTCCAATTAGAGAGTATTAAAAGTAAAGATGTATTTTTCTCCATTTGTGGAACCCCTGAAATCTGCCTGTGGAGCCCAGGTTAAGAACCCTGGCTCTAAGACGATATGACGAGTACCTTCTTATGAGTGACTAGATTCCACAAAAAAGAAGTTAAGATAAATTTAACATTTTAACTGGACTTATTAAGCAACATAATGTGAGAAGATCTGAGTCTAGGACCAAAACTTTTTTTGGGGGGGAAGTGGCAATTGAGGTTAAGCGACTTGCCCAGGGTCACACAGCCAGTAAGTGTCTGAGGCTGGATTTGAACTCATGTACTTTTGACTCTAGGATGCTCTATCCACTGTACCTAGGACCAACATTTCTAATATGCCTCTAAATAACAGGTCTGGCTTAGAACTTCCCAATCCTGCATTATGGCAGCTGCAACTTGGAAGTTATTGGCAACACTTTCCTCTTGGGTTCCACTTGGAAAAAATATATTGTTTTGGTGTGATAGAATTTATGAGCTACTGAAGATCTTAGCATCACCAGGCTCTGTGGCTATCCATACTACTTTGGGAATCTAATGGAGGGTGTCTAATGGCCTTGGTAAATGTTAGTGGGATCATGTTTTTTCAGGTCTAATTAAATATTTAAGACATGACCACCCATTAAAGAGAAGTTTTTAGGAGGGACATAAAACAAAGTTGTTGTGAAAATGAAAATAATGGTTATCAGCTTTGGGGAACAAAAAGAAATGTTGAGACCCAAAGTGATCCTTTCATCCTAACACACTTTTTCATTTTTTTAAAAATGCACATTTCATCTCTTTTTTTAAAAATAGAATTAATCTATCAATCTATACAGAACCATAAAATGTTAGAGCTTAAAGGGACATTGAAGATGATCTAATCTCTAAGATTACTCTATTGTAATCTTTACTAGAGAGATGAGGAACTTGAGGCCAAGAGAGGGAGGAAGTAACTTGGCCAAACTTAAGTAAAAGTTACGGGCAGAGCCAAGACCACCACTAAAGTTTTCTAGCTCCTGCACTTTCTCCTGCCCCATAATCAGGAGTATTATTGTCTGTAAGAGAAGAAAAATTTGAGAATAACCTTTAAAACAAAGATTTAAAGTGATCTTTAAATGAAATGAAATAAATATAGCAATAGAAAATTGGTAAGGGAATTTGGAAATTTGAAAATAATGCACTACATTAAAAAGTCGTTTTATGAACATGCAAGGATAATAGGAGCCCAGATTTATCTCGGGAAAGGGTTTTAGGTGCCATTTAGTCCAACCACCTCATTTTACAGATGAGCCCATTCTGCAGCATTAAATGGTCGATTAGGTTTAATTGACTCTTAAGTATCTGCAGTTCTGTGTGATTGTGTTTTACGCTTGTTCCTCATCACTTATTTTCTTTCCCATGCACCATGATCCTTAATTGTGTGTGTGTTATATTTCAGTCATTTTTCAGCCATGTCCAACTCTTTGTGACACCCATTTGGGGTTTTCTTGGCAAAGATGCCGGAGTGGTTTACCATTTCCTTCCCCAGCTTATTTTACAAGTGAGGAAACTGAGGCAAATGGAGTTAGGTAACTTAGGGTCACACAGCTAAGTAAGTATCTAGGGCCAGATTTGAACTCTGGAAGATGAGTCTTCCTGATTTTACACCCCTCACTCTATCCACTGTGCCACCTAGCTGCCCTTCGTGTTACATACTGTATGCCAAATTAAATAGGTAAATGCTTTTTATCAAGATATTTAATAATTTGGTAAAAAAAACCTGACATGCAAAATTTTATACACATCAAAATTCAGTGTGGTTCCTTTTCACATCCCACAACACCCTCATAAAAGCCACCAAAAGCACTTTCAAGGGGAAAGGTGCACATCTTTCAACAATAGAAATATTTTTCTTTAGAAACTTTACCTTGCTTGAAAGACCCTTCCAAATGCTCCTTCTCCAATATCTCTCACATATTCAATATTATTTCGCGGATACTCCAGGCTGAGGAGTTTGGGGTTCAGAAGGAGAGGCATGCGCTGGTACATAGGATTGGGGTGAAGTCTGTCCAGCAAGAGCTCAGAAGGGAGAGTTGTGAGTGTGGGGGTTGCAGATTCCCTGTAAAGAAGAGCAATATATAAATCTCAGGATTGGTTAAAGCAGGAACTTCTTATACTCTTTCTCCCCAGCAATAATGCCTTCAAAGGACGCCTAATTTATTAGTCAAAAAGGCTGGAAGGGCCCAAGGAGTCCTTCTGGAAGGCCATATCTCGCACTATCTCGATCTAAGTGTGAATACAATGTGATCCAAAAAGCGCTTAAGAGGTGCCTATGTCAGGACAGCTGGGTGGTACAGTGGATAGAGCATAGGAGCTAGAATCAGGAGGACAAGAGTTCAAATCCAGCCTCAGGCACATAACACTCATAAGCTGTGTGACTCTGGGCAAGTCACTTAACCCTAATTGCCCTCACCAAAAACAAAACAAAAAATCAAAAGAAGTGCCTACGTGCCCACCTCTGTACTAGGTGCTGAGGCTAGAAAAACAAAACAAAAAAAATTCCTTTCCATCAAGAAGCTTTCATTTTATTGGGCATACTCCAGATTCAACATTAGACTGACTCCAAAGAAATACAGAAGTCTTTTCAATTGTTCACTTGGGATTGTTTTGTTCCTTGTACTTGCCTCCAAGTTACCTCCAACAATGACTGGTAGGAACAGGTGTTTAAAAAATACTTGTTGACTGATTGGTATTCAAATCATCTGGCACACTCCATAATGACTACCAATACCAGCACTATAATTGTTATATAATTACCCAGCCCATTTGGAACTACCTGCCCTGCCAAGTAAGCAAAAAAAAAAAAAAAGAAAATCTAAATCTTCTTTAATTCTCTCAAACAACTATTTTGATGAAAATAAAAGATGATCCTGTGGACCTTTGTCCTAAAAGGCATTACTATTTTTTTTTATAGCCATGCAAACTCTATTAAGGTACACAGAGGAAAACCACAAACACCTCCTTTTCTTGGCATTACTATTTTTTTTAAAAAAAGTTTAATTGATGGCTTTTTTACAAATGTTATTTTCTGATAATCCCCCATCCTTAAATGAATCCTAACTTGTAACAAGGAAAAATAGTTTAGGTAAAACTGACCAGCAAATGTTTGTGACGGTATGTTCCTATAGTCCTCTGCCTAAGGAGAGGAGGAAATGATATACTTCCCCATCTGTCTTCTAGAACCAAGATATGCCAAATTATTTTTGATAATTACTTGGAAAGCAGGATGACTAACGACAGAGGCAGACTGAGGAAAATAACCGTCGTCAGGTGTTACTCTTGGTTGAGATATCTAAGGCAGGACTTCTCTCCTCAGCTGAGGGGCTGACTCAAGAAAAAGGTGATTTTACCTCTTCTTATTTTTCCACTGTCTTCGCCTTCGGCGGCAGCAAAGGAGAGCAATCATGGTGAGAAAGCCAATCACTGCAAAGCTGGAGATGATGGAGATGATGATGGTCATCGAGTAGGTAGGTGAAAATGCAGATGAGGAAGGTCGATCTGGAATGTCTGCACTGGGTTTGATGGTTACCAGTGGGGAGACTGTGAGAAAACAAAAAAAAGATGAGTTTTGGTTCAGTGGCAACCGTGAAAGGAGGTTCTGAGCTGAAAGTCAGCTGGGAAAGAAATTACGTATTCTGAGTCAAGTGCCTGGGGCTGGGGTCTTCTTCATTACCCACTTGACTCATACAAACTGAACACCACCACCAGTCCCTAAAGGTTACAATTGTTCCATTATGTTTGACTCTTCATGACCCCGTTTGGGGTTTCTTTGGCAAAGATACTGGAGTAGTTTGCCAGTTCCTTTTCTAGTTCATTTTACAGCTGACAAAACAGGGCCAAGTGACTTGCTCAGGGTCACGCAGCTAGTGAGTATCTGAAATCAAATTTGAACTCGGGTCTTCCTGACTCTAGGCTATCACATTATCCTCTGTGCCACCTAGCTGCCCCAAAGTTTACAAAGCACTTTAGAGATATCTCATTTTCTCCTTACGATAACTCTGGGAGGGAAGTGCTATTATTATCATCCCCATTTTGTAGACGGGAAAACTGAGGCAGACCTGGGTTAAGTGGTTTGTCCAAAGTCACACAGTTAAGTATCTGGGCTAGATTTGAATTCAGGTCTTTCTGTCTCCAAGTCCAGCACTCTGTACACTGCAGAGATGTTTATAATCGAATAATTGAAGAAACCTGAGATCTCGTTTAGTTTTCCCTTCTTATGTGACAGATCAATCAGTAAACATTTACTAAGTACCTACTAGATGCCTTGAATCATCGCCCTGGGAGTACAAAAAGAGGCAAATGATAGTCCCTGCCCTTAGGGAGCTTACAATGTAATGGGGTGCTGATGAGGAGGCTAAGTACCAGAGAGGTCAAGTGGTTTATCCAAGGTCACACAGATTCACACTGAGCTCTTATTATAGACGGGACTGGAATCCAGGTCAGGGATGATTTTATTTTACTATATCTCTTATGACATTGTAACTAGAGCTGTGAACATTAACTGATCTTGAATTTTTGTCCAAAACATGCTTCCTTTACCCAGACATCCCAGAAGATTATTATCCATGGCCCTCCTCAGCTCCTACTTTTTAAAGCAGAGGCTAAAAGGAAACACTTTATTGTAGCCAGTTCTTGAGGGTCATTCTCTTTTGTAAAACTACCATTAGGGTGATAGGTATTGGTGCATTCTGTAGAACAGGGTCATCTGAGCTTTTCTATAGCAGGTCATGTGATCAGAAATAATAAAAATAGTTAATACTTACATAGTAATTTATATGGGGATCTCACAAATTTAATTATAGTATCAATTATGTATTTACATAAATATATACTAATAACTATATATAATATAGTTTTAATTATGTGCACTTTGAGGAAAGATATGTCTGATATGTGATTTCATCAATGTGGGAAATTCCTGGTATAGAAAGGCCCTCCACCAGTGCAGATCTGTTTCTCTGTAATTTAATCTTGCCTGGGACACTGACAGCTTCCAGGATCAGGCAGCCCAGATGTGTTAGAGGTCGGATTGTTGAGGTGTAGATGTTAGGGGGGCTGGGACCCCAAAATAACAACATGCGGGTCCTGCTTAAAAGAATTCAACTCAAGCCTTCTTTCAGCCAAAGACAAGGTTTATTAAAGATGAGCCATATAGCCAGACTCTTAAGGAATCTGACCATTTGTGACACTCATAAGGATGAGTGGCATGAGGAAGTCTCAGCCCCTAAATGGCAGCCAAGATGGATCTTATATACGGAAAGACTATGGGAGGGACCTAGGAGTGGCCAAGTAGTTTGGGGTGACTGGAGGAGGGGCTAGGAGAAGGGGTGTCTTGATGGGAGTAGCCAGTAACTTGGGGTGAACAGAACACCAAGGACCTGGAGCATGTGGCCAAGGGAGAATGGAGTCTAGATAGGATTGAGGTTGGGAAGTGGCCAGGGACAATCTGGAGGTAACAGAATTGGAAGACTGGGCCACAATGAAAGGCCAGTTGAGTTGGATTATAGTCTCAGGCAAATGCCAGGGATTTGGGAAGGTCCAAGGATTTTTCTTTTTGGGTCCAGATCCCAAAGACATGGTCTTTTCCTTTTAGGGGTTCAGATCCCATCCTCATCAGGACTTATACTAAGTCTTCCTGACTCCCTGACTAGCTAGAGTCAGACACAACTGAATAACTGAATAACAGCTGTGTAATCTGACATACATAATTTGAATACTTCTGACTTCTGCTTTTTTCCCTCTTTGCCTAATTTTGTGTTCTAGGGCTTATCTTTCTCCCACAGATATCTGGGCTTCTCTTACCGAAAACAATGTAATTTTTCATTTTCAGGTAAATATCTTAGTACAAAATGGCAGTAGAGTTAGGGAGAGCTGGCTTTGACACCTACTGGCTGTGTTACCTTGGGCAAGTCACTTCCATTCACAGTACCCCAGGTAATTCACTAACACTAAAGTACAAGGTAGACGCTGGTCTGCTTTGACCTAGGCATTTCCTAATCATTAACAACCTAGACCAATGAAATCATAGGTCCATTTAAGAAACAAAAATAAAACTTAGGGTCATACATTTAAATCAGAAAGAGATCTCAGACATCACCTAGTCCACACTCCCCCAATTTACAGATAAGAAACCTAAGGCCTAGAGGAGTTAAGTAGCCCATGGTCACACAGGTATGAAGCATGTTAGATTCACACTCAGATCTTGTGATTATAAGTTCAGTACTCTTTCTACCATAGCATCCTATGAATGGACATAACAAACAGGTTTGCTTTCATGAAAATCACTGGGCAAAAGTTATAGATAGGCAAATTTTTACTGGATTTTAAAAAAAAGAGTTTTCTAACAATTTGAGCAGGGCTACTCTGTAAGATGGTCAATAGTATTGCTCCTCAGAAGCTAGACTTGTCACAGATACTGACTCATCTCCATGAGCCTTTCTCTACCATGCCATAGATACTTCTTCACTCTGGAAACTCCCCTGGATTACTTTCCACATTGGAAGTAACCTCCCTACCTGCAGCCTCTTCCTCTTGTTGGCTGGTTCCTCCCACCTCCATTTTAAGGAGAAAGCCCAGGCTAATCATGTCTTCATTCATCTCCTGGCTGCATCCCTGACTTTCTCTCTCATGCCCTTGCTCAGGTCCCTTCTCCCTCCTTACCCATTAGATCCCTTTTGTGTGCTATCTTCCCACATTAGACTGTCAACTCCTTGAGGGCAGGGGCTGTCTTTCTTTCTGTTTGTATTTGTATTCCCAACACTTAGCAGATTACCTAAAGTAAGAGCTTAAAATGTTTGTAGCTTGACTAATGGGTGGAGTTTGGACTTCTTAATCTCTCAGGACTCTTCCAAACTGGAGACTATTTACCAGTGCTGGAATAGAGAAGTGTTAACCTCAAAATTCAGTGCAAGAACATGTATGATCTCTGTCTGATTGCTTGCCATCTCAGGGAAGGGAGAGGGAAGGGAGGGATAGAATGTGGAACTCAAAACTTTAAATAAAACCGTTAAAAAAAATCAGCGCAAGAGGAAACACCTCTAGGAATATTAGACAAACTATAGTGTTAGAAAGACAAAAGTTCTACCAGACATCAGAACGGTTTTTTGCTGTTGGCTATTTTCCAGGCCATTGTGATCAGTATCTGCTAGTGAGCACCTGAACTAATTGAAGCCCTGATCCTGCTTACCGCTAGTGCAGAGAGGTACTGCACAGTATTCCCATCTTACAGCGCGGTCCTTAGTGAAGCACCATGGCCGTTCCCTTTCTCCTCCTGGATTTCGGCAATAATTCTCTGCATTTGATAACTCAGGGAACATCTGAGGTGTCCTTCTGTATACCTGGGGTGCCTGGTGAAAAAAAAAATAGCAACATCAGTGATCCTTAGTCTATACAGCTGATTATTCTTTCCAAATAAAATCCAGATATTGGGAGCTTTGATTTACTATAATTTTCATTAGATCAGATGATTCTTTTCTCTTCCCCTTTCTCTAATCATATCGGCCAGAGGATTAGACACTGACAAGTATATCTACGAAAGGATGTACCATTCACTTGACTCCTGAATAGAATCCTCAAAAACTGTATGAATTTAGGTGCAGGGCAAGGAGGCAGGGTTTAGTAAACAATTGACTAGGAAATCTCCCAGACAGAGTATCTCTATCTACCTGTAGACAGGAATCTACTGGTGAGGACTCTCCCACTAATCAGAAGCATGTAAATGGAGAAAGTTGATGAGAAAAATAGAGGTGAAAAGGCTAAGCAACAAACAATTTTCTTTCTGAGAGACAGGAATCTTTTAAAAGCTCACCTGTTGGGGCAGCTAGGTAGTGAATGGCTAGAGCTCTGGTCTTGGAGTCAGGATGACCTGAGTTCAAATCCAGCCTCAAACACTTAACACCTACTAGATATGTGACCCTGGGCAAGTAACTTAACCCAGATTGCCTCACAAAAAAAAAAAAAAACAAAAAGCAAAAACTCACCTGTTCATTCCATTTCTGACAAGGAATGCCTGATACTGTGACATTGGCGGTACCTTGGTACAATCTTCCCTTGTCCTGATAGCAAGTTGCTAAAACAAGAGAAAAAAAAAACCAAGAAACTACATACAAAGTAAACTTTTAGTGTCAAATGAACACTAGCACGTCAGAATTAAAAGGTTAAAGTTAAAAACACACACACCCTACATTTGGAGTAAAGGAAGAATTAAAAATCACCTTAGTGACAGTAGGAATGGAAAAGCATGAATTTTCTTAACAAGATATCATGAATATTCATGGCATTTTTGTAAAGGCTAAAGAAAGGATATATGACCTCAATGGTGGAAGAAACTCCCTCTGTTAATGCAGAGTATCCCCCTCTCTTTGATTTCATCTTAGAGAGCAGACTAGAACCCCGAGAGGTCATTTGATTTGCCCAGGGTGGCACTGCTAGTCTGTATCAGAGCCCTTCCTGGCTTGAAACCGGTTCTCTGTACCCTGTACAATGCTGTCTCCCATTTTTGGAAGCAAGTATTAATGCCCTAACTTTGGAGATGGTGAATTGGCAAGACATTGAGGCACAGTCAGTTATCATGGGGTTGGGTATGGGAGTGGTTCTTGGATAGCATTCATTTTGCATGTCAAGAAACTGAGGCTGGAAGAGGTAATACCACTAGCCAGAGATTACAGAGCCGGTTTATTGACAGAGATGGGACTAGCTAAGTCTAACATTGTTACCTCTTAGGAATGGGGAGGGAGACTAAGCAAATGTTAACCAAATTTGTGTCTGCTTCGGGCAAACATTGAAAAGACTTGAGGGTGGTAGGAAGGGGAGAACGCTTTCAAGCATTAGCACTGAAGGGAACTTTCTCACTTAGGTTTGGTATTATTTCACTTTTGTTAAATTACTGTTATAAATGGCCTTGTATAGTATTTTTGCTACTTCATTGGTTTCCTGTTCTGAGCTAGCCTGGAACGTAAGCACCCTTTAAAATGTTGTTCCTATGGAAAAAATATGTTCTGAGTTCCAAGCTGAATGCACTGTTGTAACGTAATCTATTCAGGCTCTACTGAAGGCCTAATCTGATGCCTCATTGTGGTTCAGAGGTGGTACTAGGTTCTCAAAGACTATAATACCAGTGTGTGTGTGTGTGTGTGTGTGAGAGAGAGAGAGAGAGAGAGAGAGAGAGAGAGAGAGAGAGAGCGCGCGAGGGAGAGAGAGAGAGAGCGAGCTGCAGTAGATAGAATGCTGGGCCTGGAGTCAGAAAGACTTATCTTCCTGAGTTCAAACCTGGCCTCAAACACTTACTAACTGGTGACCCTGGGCATGTCAATTCCCCCCTTGTTTGCCTCAGTTTCCTCATCTGTAAAATGAACTAGAGAAGGAAATGGCAAATCACTCCAGTATCTTTGCCAAGAAAACCCCAAATGGGGTCATAAAGACTTGGACATTACTGAAATGACTGAATAACAAGAAAGACACAACACACATGCATATATAAATAATATTGTTTCTATTAAATATATTAAATTGCATGACATATATTTTATATTTACATAGAGATTGCTGAACTAGGGGTAAAGTTTTATGGATCCAATGGGCAACAGCGAATTCTGGAGTGGTCAAACATTAGAACAGGAAGAAGACTTTAAACATCATTCCAAGTCTGTCCATGGCAGAAGTTTAAAATAAATGATTGCTTCATTTCTCAATATGTCCTCCCTTCTACTCCCTGAGAGCCATCTCTTAGAACAATAAGAAACAGTTGGGGGGGTGGTGAATGAGGGAATATGTGATCTTGGGTGAGTCACAGCCTCCATGAGCATCAGTTTCTTCATCTCTTATAAAAAAAAGAGGGTAGGATTGGATGACCTCTGAGATTTCTTCAAACTCTAGATTTAAGACCCTAAAATAACTCAGCAAAACTAATCAACATATAAAATAAGTCTGACATTATATACAGTGTTCCACACCCATAGTTCCCCTGTAAAGAAATGGGGGCAGGGGAGGTGCCATGGCAGATTTTCACTGGTTCCCAAGACTTTTCCTGCCAAAAGTAGTTAATTCTTAAAACCTTAAAATTTCAAAAACTGACTTCTCTTCTTTCTCCCTGCATCCTGCCCCTCCTCCACCTCCTCCTTCCTTCCTTCTTTTCCCTTTGTCCATGAGCTGCCAAGGACAAGCTCCCTGAAGTTGTCTAGGAAGGAGAGGTCTATGGTAGATAACATCATGGTTTTGCTGGTCTTCTGTGTAGTTTGGGTTGGGAAATACTGATCTCATCCAGTTCTCTCATTTTACAGATGTGTAAACTGAGGGCTAAGGAGGGGAAGTGATTTACTTTGTGTTAGTGGTAGTTCTAGTAGATTTTGCTACTGCTAATAAGTATATTTCAGCCAATGGAAAATAAACAATATTATGATCTCTGTTTTCAATTTTTCACTACTTGTAATTAATACTAGAACAACTTTTTATAGCCAGAGTTAACTGTTGTATATATCAACGATATGGTTGAACACATAAAAACACGAGTTATAGTTGACACCATATTGAATTCATTTACCCCCATTTTCCCATTCCTGTTTTTGCAGGATATCGCAAGGTACCTTCTGGAAAAGCAGACAGAGGTCATTTAGAGTTCAACTTTCCAAGTTTACAGATGAAAAGATTGAGGCCCAGAGAGGCTCAGCATCACACAGGTAACACACAGGGGTGTGCAAAGCTAATGTTTTCTCAACTGTACCAGAATTTTGAATATATAACAATATTAATAAGATCCTTAAGATAAGGTATGAACCTAGCTTTTATTTCCCCCAAATAATTTCACTCAAATTCCTTTTCACTAAGAAGGATCAGTATGTAGTATCATTTTTCTAAAGCCTTTGGATGACTAATTTTCACAAAAGAAAGCAGAAAAGTTCAGTGCCTTATTTTGCTTCATGACTTCTGTTTTATGAGTTTTGGTCTAGAATTTGTTGAAAAGGTTTCTGTCTTCCTTCTTTTCTGAGCCTTAAATGACTAAGAGAGGAATGAGCTCAACTTTCTTTCTTCAAGATGGTAGAAATGAATTTACTGCCCTGCTTGCTTTAAAGCCTTAGGACTGAAAGAAGAGTAAGTCTGAAGGTTTGGGGGGTTGGACATTGGATACTTATTCTGGTCCCCAAGCACAGGGGTTCAATCTTAGGTTAGACAGGCTTCTAATGGAGTGGGGAGAGAGTTGTGGTGGCACTGGGTTCAGTTTTCTCATACTTTTTGGCTCATTAAATCTCCACACTCGCACCCTAGGGTCAAATTATTTAAAGCTTAGTTATTGATTCATGTCTAAAGCCTCTTCAAAATGGAGGGCATTAGAAAAAGTAATCAATCTATAGTATGATCAAGCATGGTACAAATATTGATTTTCTACAAACAAAAGACAATGCATGTAGCAACAGAGATAGGATTAAAACCGGATTTAGTAACTTAACTAATATATTGCTGCTAGAACTGTAAATTGGTCAAACCTTTCGGGAAAACAATTTAGAATTTTTTTATTTGGAAAAAAAACTGAACTGTTCATATTCTTTAATCTAGAGATCCTACTAAGGAAGTCAAAGGGAGGGGCCCCATATATAACAAAATATGCAAAGTATCACTTTCGTAGCTGAAAAGAATAAGTAACAAAGTAAATGCCATTTGATTGGGAATTGGATGAAAAGAAATGGTATATGAATAGGGAAAGGTACTTATGTTTTCATTAGTAAAAGGAACTTTCAGATGGGAACTCCCTTCACCAGTGAAAGTTAGCTCCTTCTCTGCAGCTTATGGTCTTAAAGAGTTGACTAGAAAACTGAGATAATTATGTGACAGTGAATATGGGCCAGGGATAGAACTTGAGTCTAGGTTTTTGTAGTTCTGAGACCTGCTTTCTCTCTACTATTCCTGAGCTACTTCTTTTCTATTTTTTAGTGAATGTCAAGTTATTTTGGTGAGAAATATGAACAATAATGTCAATATTATAACATAACAATATAGAAATATTGTAGGTTACAATATATTTATATTATGATATATAATATATTTGTATATTATCATAACCCATGATTATATTTCTATATTATATTGATACATCATTTTAATGCATGATGCTATACAATTATATTTTGTTGATTATTAACATAACATAGATATATAGTTATATCATATATTATTATTTCTAATACATTATATTATATATCAACACATAATATATTAGAACATAAAACAATGTTATGACACAATTATATCATATAACACATGTTAGTATGCTATATTAATATAATAGACATTAATAAGAGTAATAATCAATATCAATAATAATGGTAATATTAATTGATATAGTTTAAAATCTAGTGACTCTATTCTCCTGTCACAACTACTTTTTTCCCTGCTGTTTCCCTCAGCATTCTAGATCTTCTGTTCTTTCAAACGAATCTTGTGATTCTTTTATCTACTTCTATAGAGTAGCTCATTGGCAGTTTGATAGCTTTAAGTCTATACCTCTTTGGTTTTGTAGCTTCTCTGAGATATATGTCTACCATATTCATAGGTCAGCCAAGGAGGAATAGGGAGGGGAGAAAAATATTGGACTAAATGCTTTTATATGATTGACAATGGGAAGCCACTGAAAGTTTCTGAGTAGGGGAGTTGTATAATTATGGAAGAGTAATGAGAAGGTAATTAGTAGTAAGTATGAAAGATGGACAGACTAGAAAGATGGGACAGACTAGAAGGAAGAAGGCTAGTTAGGAGGTGATTATTATAAATATTCTCAAGTGCAATCTATTCCACTTTCTTCCTCATTATTCCTCAGGGCCTGTACTAGATCTATGTATTGATTCAATGTTACCTTTCTAACTGTAAGATACAGTTTTGTTTTTATTTTTAGCTAGTGAGAGTGCTGGACTTAGAATCAGGAAGACTTGAGTTTGAATCCTGTCTCAGATTCTGTTTGACAATGGGCAAATCACTTAATCTTTTAAGATACAAAGTTGGCAAGAACACATCTTGTTGTTTTTAGGTGTGTTGTTAAATCCTAAGAGGAGTTCTGCCCCGAGTTATTGCTGTGGTTTTGTCTATAAAGGAATCTTCAGATTATGTTGGTGTGTGCAGTAGAGGAGTGTCTTTAAGACTTCATGTTGTGCCATCAAGTCCTATGTTATCTGTCGCTGTTCAGTTGTTCAGTCATGTCTGCCTTTTTGTGATATCATAGACCGTGCTGTCCATGGGGTTTTCTTGGCAAAGATAATAGAGTGGTTGCCATTTCCTTCGCCAATAGGTTAAGGCAAATAGAATTTAAGTGACTTGCCCAGGATTACACATCTAGTGTCTGAGGCCAGATTTGAACTCGAGTCTTTCTGACTCCAGGTCTAATACTCTATCCACTGGACAACCTATTTGCTGCTATTTTATTACCAAAAATCATTAAAAATAGTGGCACCTAACATTCTCTATATCTTTTGCCCAGTTGAGTGATTATAGAAGTATGGTCTGCAGTTGTCAAAGTCCATCTATTTTCTTCTTATATCTTCATCAAGGGTGTTCTTAATATGTAAGTAAGTCATTCTTAGGAAATATTTATAGAAGTGAAAACCAGAAAACAAAAAGTTTTTGTTTGTTATTAGTTTTCTCCTGTCTTTTTTTTTTTTTGGTTATAATACCATATAAGATGTCCAACCACATCATTGGGTTTCTGGTCTTTCAGATATTTTTGAAAATTGATCACATGATACTTTCAAAATTGTTTTGGGTCCAGCATGGATATTTTTCTGTGTGGATTCAGTCTAGTCAAATTGCTTTTCTCAATTTCATTTTCTTAAGTGTCATTTCTACTTAATCATGAAGTGCCTCAGAAACTTAGGAGTTCAAACCCAAATGTCATGTCATTGGTGAAAGAAAACAGATTCACTAGAAATGCTGGTGGACAGGTTTCATTTTATGTCTTTCTGTTCTCTTCTTCTAGTTTCATTATTAAATACTTTCAAAATGATTTGACTTAGCTGGGTTCCACCTCCAGTCTTCTGCAAGCTTGTTTTCCCTTCTACTGCTCTTTGCTGTTCTGTGAGCAAGACTGCTTATAATCTTCCACCTTCCCCTTTTCCCAAAGTTTTGCATATGAATTTTCTTAATTAGCATTGCCCTTAGCTGCCATTTTTCTTCAAGGTAGAGAGATCAAGTGCTTGCTGGTTAAGGAAATTTAGGCACTCTTTTGGCCTCTAGTGGTTACTTTATATCAGTTAGACTTCTGAAGGAAATACTAGTAGTTAGAATCAGTCTTTATTCCTTTGCAATTTCCTACTTTTTAGTGACTGCATCTTATTTGAATAGGTGAACTTTGATCTGTTTTAAGTATATGCAGTGTGATTTTATATCATTTATTGTTGATTTTGATGTTTATCCTCACTAGGCAATTGTGTGACTACATGTCTGGTTGGTAAATGACTTATCTGTATCCAGTTGTTTCTTGTCTACTAAGCTATTTTTAATTTCATTTGTTTTGTGCTGTTCTTTAGTGCTTACCATGTCTGATGTGTTCTAACTTTTCTTCCGTACAGTATTCATCATATATAAGTGTGAGGCTTTTGAATGGTCTATAAGTCATTGACCCTTTCCATTTCTTAATCCTATATATTTTCCCTACATACTTTTCACTATTATTTTCTGTGCCCATATATCTTCTCATTTTAGTCCCAAGATATCAACATATAAGCTGATTTGCTTAGAAGGATTTATCAGGTTCTTCAGATTATTTCACTGCCTTCTTTATCCTCTGGAACAGATGTTGACTCATAGGTACAATTACATTATTAGTCTTTTTATTATATTTGTCTTGAGCATCGCAATAGGAGATGACTACGTGTCTCATTAAACATTTCTTGTTGCCTTTGGTGCATGGTATAATGCACTCAATTGAAGCCTTTGCTTGTCCCTCCCTTTGAACAGAATCTAAGAGTCATCTTTCAATTAAACTACAACTTCCTTATGTTTTATGGTTTAACTTATGGGGTTAATGTCAATATGGATATGGTCTAATTTCTCCAGTAATGTATCAAGTAATATAATGGAACAAGAATCTTACATTAAGAACACAAATAGCTAAATTAATGTTTGTAAATGGTACAAAAATTGTCACTCTTCCACCATCACTGCAAAAGCAGAAGAGGCAATTGTAGGCCTGGAGGCCATTCTGTATTTTATTTCGTTTCATAGACATCAATGGTCAGATAATTCACCACAAATTATCCAGCCAGTAGACTGGTGATGAACCTCTTGGCACTTAGCTAGGCTTGTCTTCATACAACAGGCAGTTGAGTACAATCAGCCAGTGTTTGTGCTCTGCTGGCACAATCTTGGAAAAGCTAAGGTCACCTCTATCTACAACATGAGATATCAGTTGGATTTTTGGAGAAGTAGATGCCTCCAATAATGAAAGAATTAGAAAAATACAGTTATAATGAAGGAATCATGAGCACAGCTTACTATAGGAATAATTTTATATATCTACAATTAGCATTGGGGGAACATAAATCTAATTTAATGCTTCAGTGGATCTGTGAGTCTTTTGAGTGAGATCTGATCAGATCTCAATGATTTAGATGTTTCTTTAGAGGATATAGATCAAAAATTTCTCCATGTACTCTCTTCCTCTGTGACTCTCACGTCCTCCCAAAAATCCTACACAGTGAGTTCATCCAATGTTTTGGGGTCTTTCCTCAGGCTCTCTCGACATTGAGTGTAGAGAAATCCAGCACAGAGGCTGAATTAATCAATTATCCTTCACTTTCTCCATGTAAGCAAAAAATCATACACTGAAAATGAAAATGATACTTTTATGGTTTGATTCAGACCATAAATGGCATAATGCCATTCAGAGAACCCTAGAACTGGAAGGGACCTTTAGAAGTTATCTACCAAATGGCTTTGAAGGTTTGGAGATATTTCTCTCTCTATTTCTCTATTTCTAGTTTAACACCCTTATTTCATATAAGTAGAAACTTAGACTAGGAAAGGTTGTGACCTTGCAAGGTCACAGGAATAGTTAAGATAGCAGACAGGGTCTCTTGACCCTAAGTCCAGTTTATTTTTTCCCCTCCTCCTTCTCCTCTTCCTACTTCTCCTTTTTCCACGATTTCATCATTGTAGGGAACTCCCAGTGACAAACGTCCTCTGTTAATGCAGATCAAAAGATGCTAGTCTTAGGTGCTTAGGGCACTGAGACTTTCCAGTGTCACACATCCCTTAAGTGCCAGGGATACGTGGCCCAGATCTTCCTGATTCCAAGGAAAGCTCTCGATCCACTCTACCATCTGGTCTCCCTAACAACTTTAAAGTAGTCAAAGGGTAGTTATCCTCAAAGCCAAGAAAACCTGGGTTCAAGTCTTGCCTCTGACATATATATATATATGTATATGTATATGTATATGTATATGTATATGTATATGTATATGTATATGTATATGTATATATTGCCTCCGTGACCCTGGTCAAGTCACTTAACCTATTAGTGCTTCAGGTGCTCAGCATCAGACACCTGTAGGCCACCATGCTTCCTAATGCTCTTTAGTGGTCTCCATTTCTCTTGAGTTTGATACCACTACTCTAGGCAGCATTCTTACATGAAAGGTTACAGAGAAGGTGCCAGCTTGTATTAGTGCAGGGAATTTCCTCACCTGGGGAATGGAATCCTAGGTTCAGTCCTGAGGGGGGCTATGTTAATCATAGTACATATTTCAGCATAAGCTACTTGTACGATCAAACGATTAGACCCCAAGTTTGATGCTATGTATAAATGTTCCAAGGCCTTTGGAACTCCATGTTTTTAATATGATTAAGGTGAAGGATGCAAAGAAGCATGCAGGTTACCAATGAAATGCACACAAGGATTCAAGAACACACACAAAGCTACTTACTTGTTATGTTATCTCTTTTTAAATCTGAGGGGGGAGAAGGGTGAACATTAAAAAAATGAAGAATAGGTTTTCCAATTATTCTGTGAGAGCTCATTAAGAAATACAAATCATTTCTCAGCTTTACAGTATGTAGTGGGAAAGCGTTCTTTCCACTCATGAGAAAGATAGATTTCCCCAAAATCACCCCAGATGTTTGGGATAACCACACAACCACTTATAAAGCTCATTACGGCAACATGGAGCTGATCAGCTTTGTTTGGTGAGGTCAGCAGTTTAGAGCACATGGTAATGGGGATTTTTGCTTAAATATCTGCTTAAAGCTGCTCTGGAGAGTTTTCTTTTTTTCTTAAGGGGATCTTAGTCCTTCCCTTCTCTGACTAGGTCAACCCAGGGCAAGTCCTAGCTCTTTCTCTCAACATTCCAAAGAAAGTTACTCAGATCTTGTAAAGATCCACTCTGAAGTAAGGCCAGGCTTCCAGGTAAGGATAAAGCCTCCAATAGGTTTCAAATGAATTCATTCATTTTTTCACAATGACCTTTGAAACTAGGTATTCTAATTTTCCTTTTATCCTGAGGAAAGAAAAAGTTAATTCACGAGTATAACCTGGCTCCAGGAACACACCCCTCTTAGTCTCTTCTAAATACTAGGTAAAGCAACGGTTCTTAATCTTTTTTGGGGGGGATCATGGATCCCTTTAGCATTTGGTGAAGCTTCTGGATCCCTTCTTAGAATAATATTTTTAAATATATGAAATAAAATACTTAAGAATAAACAGGAAACCAATAATATTGATACGCATTTATCAAAATACTTTTTTTTTTTTAAAAACAAGTTCATAGGCTACAGGTTAAGAATCTCTGATGGGGCAGTAGATAGAGCACCGGCCTTGGAGTCAGGAGGACCTGAGTTCAAATCTAGCCTCAGACATATAACACTTACTAGCTGTGTGACTTAGGGCAAATCACTTAACCCAAATTGCCTCAAGAAAAAAAAAAGAACCTCTGAGACAGAGGATTCTGTATTACCTAAATGTGGCACTTTTATGCAAGCCATAGGCTCCCTGTGCATGCTGGGAAGCTTGGTGCATTCAGGCAAGGTCAGCAGATGCAATCCAGATTTGTACAGGCCTCTGTGGGATTTTTCTTCCAGTGTCAACCATTCCTTTGCGCAGAATAGATCCTTTACAGCCAGGCAGTGCTCTCTAAAACATTTTATGGAGAACAGTGAGAAGGACTGTTTAAAGAGGGACATGTTAGTGCAGCATTTAAGGTATAATTTATATACTGTGTTTTCAAAACAACATGGCAGAGCAGCTGATTCTCATTCCAAGAAGGGTTTTGAATTCACTCTTTATGTTATAAGAAGTTTTATTGGGAACACACAGTTTCCCTTCGTGGGTATTCTAGTGGCGTAGCCTGGTTTTTCGACATAAGTAATTCTACAGCCCAGAATGACAAAGCAGGGAGTGTCTATAAAAATGGTACAAAACTGGCTGTAAGTTTGTATGGAAGCCCCAACGTCAGTCATTTTAGAAGAATAATGAGAAATAATTAGCTGCCGTAAATACGTTCTTTTAGAATTAGGATCACAAATCTCAGAGGCCATCTGAAATTTAGAGAGGTTAAGTTATGACTAATCTCATGGTCCTGCTAGGTGCCAGATGCAGGATTTGAATCCAGTTCCTGGGTTCATTCTGCTGAACCCACTCTATCTGTCTCTATTGTTGCCAATCTGGAAGAGCAACTCCTGGGTTCTTGATTTTTGCTAGCTACATTTGTGATTCTCGCTCCAGGATTTTGACCAAAATACAAAAGTGAGGCCTCTCAGAAGACAGCACAGCACATTGGCAAGAGCTCTAGCTCTGGAGTCTGATGATCAGGGTTCGAATCCTATCCCCAACCCTCTTCTATGACTTTGAATGAGTCCCTTCAGGTCTCTGGACCTCAGTGACCCGATCTGTAAAATGGGGTTGGACTAGATAGCCTCTAGAAGGTTCCTTCCAGCTCTGACCCTGACCCTAGGTTTTTTGAATCTAATTCTCTTTCCACTACATCATATGCCCACTTATCTCTACTACTCCATTGAAATATTTGTGACAGTGAAAAACTACAAGCTACCTAAATGTCCAGAGAGCTGGCTGCACAAACTGTGATAGACACAGTGTCCCAAAAGTTTTGGTGCAGTTTTAAACGTGTGAAACAAAAATGCACCAAGACCTTTGGGCACCATGTCTAACAGAATGCTTATGGTTCCACTAAGGCTGACAAATATGAGGAATATAAAAATGTCATAGTGCAAAATTAAGAAAGCAACAACAGAAGAATAGTTTGTACATATATGATGCCGACTTATTTTTTTGTTGGGAACTCCTGATGCGGAAACTCCCTCCACCAAGACAGATCAGCTACTCTTCTGTCATTTTCAATCATGTCTGACTCTTCATGATCCCGTTTGAGGCTTTCTGGGAAAAGTACTGGAGTGGTTTGCCATGTTGTTCTCCAATTCATTTTACAGATGAGGAAACTGAGGCAAACAGGGTTAAGTGACTTGCCCAGGATCACACAATTAGTAAATGTCTGAGGCTAGATTTGAACTCAGGAAGATGAGTCTTCTTGGCTCTAAGCCTGGTACTCTATCCACTGCACTACCAGTCTTAGAGTCCTAGAAAGTTACCTGAGGTACTGAAATTGAATGATTTGCCAAGGGTCACACAGCTACTGTGTCAAAGGTATATCTTGAAAGTGGGTCTTCCTGATTTTATCTACTATACATAGCATGGTGCTTCACATGCCTTTTTAAAAGAGTGTGTGTGTGTGTGTGTGTGTGTGTGTGTGTGTGTGTGTGTGTGTGAGTGTATGTTTGTTTATGGAGTGCATAGACAGATATAAAGAAAGGGAACACCAGAGAGACAAACTGATAAATTGTTATTGGATAATTGTTTATGGATGTTCGTTTTAAAAATGTCAATTGTTTTAAAGTATGCCTGATTGGCTTTGTTTCAAGTTCATATAAATGATTGTTTTAAAAACATCTTTATATCCTAATGAATTATTTGCATCAAACAGGTGTCAGAATTGTTTGAGTGCTATGGTAATCTGAACTGAGGAGAGTGGAATTGGTTAAAAGCCTTTGAGTCACTTTATAAGCATGATAATTATCCCAGCATCCACAGCAATGGTGATTGTTGGTTATGATGGGGTGCTGATGACAAGGTTGGGGAGTAGCTGTCTTCACCTTCCTTTGCTGGTTACACCTTCTGTTTATTATATGCAGGGAATCTTCTGGTTAGGGATGACTACAGGGCTGCAGGACCTCACATGAACTGATTGGAAGACAGGAAATAAGCCCTGGATGGGGGAAATCCAAAACTTCTGGCAAATGTGGGATGATAACAAACAGATTCTGACTCTTAAAGTAGTGGTAGGGGATGGAGAAGTATGTGCCCACAGTACTCTATTGTACCCTGTCACTCACAGGCTTCAGTAAGAATATATTTTGCCCAGAGCGGTTCACATTCATAATGTACTTTCCTCATAACCATTCATTAGGGCAGGTAGAGCAAGTGTGATTATCTCCATTTTAATTACTTTTTTTCTGTTTGAACCTGTGGTTTCATTGGAATAGGAGGCTCCTCTGAGCTAACTCCTCCCGATGCAGATAAATCAATAACTGTTTTGCAGCTTATAGTTTTAGACAATTTTATGGGGGCACTGAGTAAGGAAGGGACTTACCCAGGGTCACAAAGTGAGGTTCTCTGAGCTAGATCTTAAATCAAAGTCATCCTGACTCTCTATCTATAACATGCTTCCTCTCCATTAGTGAGATCATTTATGTAAAAAGTTTTCTTTTTTGTGGGGGGGGCAGTCAGGGTTAAGTGACTTTCCCAGGGTCACACAGCTAATAAGTGCCTGAGGCCAGATTTGAACCCAGCTCTTTCTGACTCCAGGGCCAATGCTCTGTCCACTGCCCCACCTAGCTGCCCCAGTGTTTTCAAATCTTAAAATACTATATACATTTAGGAGTTACTTTATAGATGATGAAATAGGCTTAGAAGTAACCCAACCAGTAAGTGTTAGATCTAGAATTCAAATCTAGCTCTCCTAGCTTCAAATTCAGTGTTTTACCCACTGCCCCCAAGTGAACTTAGATGGAGGGTCCTCTAGTTTTCTTAATGATCTGTGATAAATGGAATGAGTAACATGGAGATGCAGCATGGCATATTGGATTAAAGGCTGTCTTGGTGTCAGGAAGCCCTAGATTGGTTCAAGTCCTATTTCAGTGGCAGCTGGGCAGTGCAGAAGATAGATCACTGGGCACTGAGTCAGGAAGATCCGAGTTCAAATCCAACCTCAGACACTTTCTAGTTGTATGACCCTGGACAAGTCACTTACTCCCTGCTTGCTTTAGTTTCCTCAACCATAAAATGGGGATAATAATAGTACCTACCTCCCAGGGTTGTTGTGAAGATCAAATGAGATAATATTTGCTTAGCCCAGTGCCTGTCATGTAGTACGTGCTCCTCTCTGCTTCCCCTGCTCCTCTGTCCTTCCCTCCTTCCATCCCACTCTTCCTTCTTTCCTTCCTTTTTTCTTGCCTCTGACATAAAACTGAGGATAGTCATTTAACCTCACAGTGTTCCCAGGCAACTCTCTAAGACTGTAAGTTGCAGATGAATGACTGATGATCTGCTACAGTGAAGGGAGTTTCCACATTGGGAGTTTGCTACCCTAATGAAATTACAAGTCTACACTCCCTACTCCAAAAAAATCCACATAATGTTATTTTTCTGATTTAGCAGTACAGGAAACTCTTTTATTCTTTTTCTCCCATGGCCAATCAGCACTACCTATCATTAACACAGAAGGCTTATATTTTGGGATTATATTTTATGGGTCAAATATACTCTGTTCTAAACACACAAAAGCTGATCGTTTGGTTCACTCTTGGTCACAACCTCTTCCACTTTTATGAAACACCATCCCTGGTTTCTTCTAGTAAATAGGTACATGCCCATACCACCAGTGGAAAATCTCTTACCTGCATAAAGGTTTAGGAGCTGGCATAAATCCAGCAGGGTTGCAGCCCTGGAAAATGTGGTTACAGAGCAGAGACTCCATAGCTAGCCGACAGAGTGAACTCAGCTCCTTCAAGTCGCTCCAGATGGTTTGGACAAGAAGCTCTTGGGTGTCCTCTGGGTCCCCGTAGGTAGAGTTGTAGAAAACAAGGGCGTCCTTTGCCAAGACAGCACCGCAAACCTCACCTCTATAGGTACTGCAGTAGCCTGGATCTTCTTGGTGCAGTTTACTGAAAAAGTAATGAACAAAGTTCCCAAGCACATGCTACTTCTTGGCATTCAGACTATTTTGTTCCAAATATGTATCCTAGAGGCAGGAGAAAAATCAGAAAGCGAAAAAAAAAAAAAAGCAGTGCCATAATCTACTTACTGCATTCACCATTTTACATGTAAGATTAGAATTTGTTTCAATTCAATATTTGTTACATGAAAACATTCTCTACCTAGGGTCCATAAACTTGATTTTTTCCTATATTGATAACTGTATTTCAATATAATTGATTTCCACAGAGACTTGACCTCGATCCAGGAAGACCTGGCTTCAAGTCCTAACTCTGACATATCCTAGTTGTGTGGCCCCAGCAAGTCACTTAAACTCTCAGTTGCTCTATGAAACTCTCTAAGACTGTAAGTTGCCAAGAAGGTGCAGACTTGTATTGGTAAAGGAAGTTCCTTATTCAGACCTCCAGATATAGATCCAGTCTCTCTATTGTGTGCAGATACTATAATAGGACATGAAGGGGATAAGGAATAGAAACAAAGTTTAGATAAGAGATAGCTCCTGACCTCCTGGAGTTTACCATCCAGTAGGGGGATACAATACATGAAAAAATAATTATCATATAAAATAATCTGTGATAATTGCATAAGGGAAATACCAAGTGGTATAAAAAAGATGTTTACTGATTGGAGAGTTTAGGGAAAACTTTCTGAGGGAGGTGTGATTTTAAGATGAATAGAATTTTAAGAGGTAGTGATGGGGCAGAAGGAAGAAAACATTCCAGGGACAGAAAAGATTACAGAGACAGAAAAAAAAAAACAAGGAATGTATGTAAGTTGTACCGACTGGCCACAGGGGACAGTACATATGTGAGATAGGTTTGAAAGAAAATGCCGGATTGTGAAAGTTCTTGCCTACCAGGCTATGGATTCGAATTAAACATAATTTAATGTAACTCAGTGAGATGGTATATTGCTATATTCATTGAGTTCACTAAAGATAAATTAGGAGACAGTCAGATGACATCTTGCTGCTCTCAAGGAGTTCAAGTCACCAGCCCCAGATGATTTGGAACCTAAAGTATCAAAAGAACTGGCAGATGCTATTGTTGATAGATTTTGGAAAAAAGGCAGAGGAGCTACAGCACTGGAGAAGGGAAAAATGTTTTCCCAATTTATTAAAAAAAAAGAAGATAAACCTGCAAATTACTGACCAATGAGCTTACTTCTATAGCTGGCAAGATTTCTAGGAAGACATTATTAAGGGAATCGTAGCTAAGCACTTAGAAAGGGAAGCAGTGAACACTAAAAGTCAGCCAGGTTTACTCAGGAACAAGTGATACCAGACTAACCTCATTTCCTTTTTTGTTAGGGTTACTAGATTACCAGATAAGGGGAATACAGTTAATATAAAATATACTTATATTTCAGCAAAACCTTTAATAATATCTCATGGTATATTTTGGGTAAGGTGAAGAGATACATGCTAAATTATATTACAGTTAGGTAGATTTGATATTATTTGAATGGCCAGACCCAAAGAAAAATCATTAATGGGTTGAGGTGAAATTGGAGAGATATCACTTGTCCAGAGATCTGCCCTTGGCCCTCTCTGTTCAATATTTTTATCACTGACTTGAATGCAGGCATATATACATGCTGGTAAAATCTGCAGAGGACAGGAAACTGAGAACCTAAATTAACATATTGGATGGCAGAGCCAGGGTCCAAAAAATACAAACAGTTTGGAACAGTGGGCAGAATCAAATAGAATGTAATTTAATAGAAATAAAAGTAAAGTTCTCTTCTTGGTTTTAAAACAAAAACAAAAATGACTTCACAAATAGAGGAAGGGGAAGTATGGCCAGACAATAGTTCCTTTGCAAACTATCTAGGGGTTTTTGTGGATTGTAGATTCAACATTCAATTTAAAAAAAATTATCAAGTACTTACTATGTGTCAGGCATTGTGCTAAGCTTTGGGAATGCAAAAAGAGACATGCAGCTTACATTCTAATGGGGGAGACAACATATGAACATATAAATACAAAGCAAGTTATATACAGGATAAATAGGAAATAATTAACAGAGGGAAGGCACTAGAATTAAGAGGAATTGGAGAAGGCTTTCTGAAAGAACTGGGATTTTAGTTAGGACTTAAGGAAGAAAGGGAAGTTCAGTAGTTGAAGTGGAGGAAGGAGAGTGTTCTAGGCCTGAGGGACAGCCAGAGTCAAGGGTCAACATCATGACATGGACTGTCATGTGGGCAGGGGACTTCATTTATCGTGTCTGGTCCTAGAGGGGCGCAGAATTAGGAGCAATATGTGAAAGCTGCAGAGAAGCAGATTTATTTCAGGTGGGGCTAATCTTTTTTGTTTGTTTTAAGTAATTATAGCTATTTATACTGAGTGGAATGAGCTGCCTTGGGAATGAGTGGGGTCCCTCTTGTTGGCGGTCCTCAGACTGAAGCTGGATGATACCTTGTTGGGATTTGGTAAAAGGGATTCTCATTCTGGTTTGATGAGGCAGTCTATAATCTCCCTTCTGACTCTTAGATTCCGTGCCTCACCATTGCAAATATGGAGTTCCAGAGCAAGAAATTTGATAGTACAAGCTAAATATTCAGAAAGTGACTTTAACGTAAATGACTTAGACTGTTCTCTGCCACACTCTCCTGTAAAAAATGGATCATTTTGACCAAGAAAGGGACCAAAGAATGAGTGTCGCCATCTTCATTTTTATTTGACTTTTTTTCTTTAGATTTTTAGGCAATTGGGGTTAAGTGAGTTGCCCAGGGTCACACAGCTAGTAAGTGTCAAGTGTTTGGTCTGAGGCTGGATTTGGACTCAGGTCCTCCTGACTTCAGGGCTGGTGCTCTATCCACTTCATTTTTAAAGTGAAGATGCCGAGTCAGAAAGAAATGAGGGGGATTTTGTTCAAGGTGCCACAGTGGGCCAGCTCTGCTGCTCAGAATCAAGTTACCCCTCAGCCACATTCCATGCAATGTGTTGTTGTCTCTCCTTAATCAAAAGGAAATCTCTGTGACAACTTTCCAAAAATGACTTGGGGGTGCTTTGGCTTCTTTTAGTTCCTAGTGGCTGGCTATACAACTTCCCCCCCCCCCCCGCCCCGGCTCCTGGCCAAATCGCTATCTGGTTCTTTTGCTCTATGAACCTTCTTGCAACACTGTGTGCTTGGTTCAGTTCCACAGGGCTTGTGAAAGGGGTCAGGAAGCAGGCCTCTTGTTACAAGGCCACAGACTCAGATGTCCTTCCTAGTTGACTGAGCCTCCCCACCACCCCCAATGAGAGGTTCACCTTCCCTCTCCTCCCTACTTTTCCATATAAAGAGGTCTCTAAGGCTCCAGTCTCACAGCTCACTAAGGGAAACTCGATAATCAATTTCCTTGAAGGGTCACTCAGTGTAATTCCCTAGCTCCTCTCCCATCACTATAAGGTTAATATTCTCATAGCTCTTAGCCAGGATTTGGACAGAAAATGAATGCAAAGCATTCCCATTGATTTCCACAGTTGTCATTTGCAAAGTGAGAAGAAGCCAAATCCTTGCCCAATCAAAGTGGATCTTCTAAGTGGAACTCAGTGTCTCTGCCAGGGATCTGGGGAGCAGCAGTATGCACAGCAGCTGTCCTGGTTGCTCATTCCACCAGTTGAATGGGGGTCACAGAGATCAGTTCACAACACGCTTGCTATTTTGGAATGGTTAGTGGTACCATTTGTTAGCTTTTCTTTCCTCACTCTCTAAATGTTGCTCACCAGCCCTTCTAGGGCTTCCTACCTACCATTATCTTTTATCTCACTGCTCTCTTTTCCCGTCCCCCAGATCTAGTGGTTGCATAGTAGGGAACAACAAATCAATGCTGGTTTTGCTGAACGAACATTTCTAATATTTTCAATGGTATCCATGAGTCTTTGACTTTCTCTTCATCTTTCTGTTAGTAGATTACTTCCTTGTTTTGATATTGCATAAAAATAATGCTTTCTGTCCTTGCTTCTCTCCTGCCTGCAGATCATCCAACACTTTACATTTAAATCCACAAGTGGAAGAGACAAGAGCTTAGGGAATTTATTGCTACTGACCCTCATTCAGCCCTTAATCTGATACTGACTTTTTTTTTTTTACAGCCCTGGTATTGTCACCTTGTCATTAAACTCATTTTGTTATTAACATATGGATAGCCCAAGTACCTACTCAGTACCCCTGAAATGCTAATTCAGATGCCTCTAATATGAGGAAAATACAAACAAGAATGGTATAGGATGAGAAAGCATGGAGGGATTATAAGACTACCCATACTGACAAGATAAAAAGACCTTATTTAGAAATCAGCCTTAAAGTTTATGAGGGATGATTCTTTGAGGGAAGGGAAGACATTGGAAAATCATGATGGTGAGGGAGGAAAAAGCTTTAATTTTTTTTTTTGGTGAGGCAATCAGGGTTAAGTGACTTGTCTAGGGTCACACAGCTAGTAAGTATCATGTATTTGAGAAAAGCTTTAATTTTAAAAATAATATGAGACATGAAAGAGAAAACTGGGAAAAGAGGGTTTTAGAAATGAATAAGAAGATATAGAGATTTTGAGGAAGAAGATTTTTTGGATGTGAATTTTAAAGAAAAGGACATGCTTCATTGGGCCAAAATACATCAAATCAATATTTTATAACTTTTTGGTGACATATATATCCTGGGGAATAAAATCATGTTTGGTTCTCTAATTAAAAATATTTTTACAAAGCATTTTTTTCCTTCTCATAACAACTCTATGAGGTAGGCAATGAAAATATTATTATTCCCGTTTTATAGATATGGAAACCAAGCCTGGGAGACTCGGTGACTTGCCCAGAGTCACACTCTTGATAGAGCAGGGGGTCCATCTCGGGTCTCCCCCATTCTGAGACCTCCACTAAACTAAATCATATAGAGATCATGGATATATCAAAGTAAGTACAATGGAATTTAACATCCTTAGCTACCAGATTTGATTATAAGTTCATGGAAGAGAAAAAGCATTATATAAAGTTCTGACTGTACCCAATATGGTGCTATGCACATTTTAGGTCCCAATGAATGAATGGGAACTCTGTGGGTAGAAACTAGGAATGATCCTGCCATGTTAAATGTGCAGTTGTCTTATGACTTTTCACCTTTTTTCTTTATTCATCTTCAGGGCTGAAATTGTGGTGAGAGAAGAGGAACAAAAAGCATTTTAAAGGCCCTTGTCACCCAAAGAATATCATTGTTATTGAGCAATTTTCTTACCTCCATGCTTTGTGAACAGGAAAGGAAGGCCCCACAGGCAGCCACCAGATGAAGGAGGAAAAGAGAAAAAGAATTAGTGAGTTCTTACTTCCTTTGTTCTATTACCACTAGATAATTTCTAACTTTTAAGAAACTTTGGCTCTAAATTACAAGATGTGGTCTCAATGGAAATTGTAGTGCCTCTGGAATCAAAGGACCTGGATGCAAATTTTGGTTTTGCTGCTTACATTCTTTATGCTCTCAGGCAAGTCATTTGACTTTCCTGGGCCTCAGTTTCCTCATCTGTAAAATGAAAAGTTATGCTAGATGGCCTCTGAGGTCTCCTATGATCACAGATCCATTTAAGACTTGTCCCTAGGTTGACATGTGAGTTTGGGGGGAAAAGAGCAATAGGAGCGTATTGGGCATCCAAATTCTTGATGATCTGATGGTTATCAGTGGGTAGAGTCAATCATTAGTGTCATCAGTATATACTGATTTTATAGGTGGAATTAATTTCCATCTATTCTCCCTACCACCAGGTATTTTTCATCAATAAAGTTGGTGTGATCATTGGAAGGGGAGGAAAAGCAAGAAGTTGTGTTAAGCAGCATGAGCAGCAGTCCCTTTCAGAACTTCTGAAGACTTCAGGTACATTATTGGCTTAAGCATGAAGAAACCATTGAACCTAAGTTTTGTGAGGACGAGAACTATTTCTTTTTTCATATTTGTATCCCCAATGCCTGGAACACAGTAGGCACTTAATGCTTGTTGAGTTGAATTGATTGAAGAGGTGCTAGATCTGTTGCTACCAGCTTCCATTTATTTATCTATTTTTAGCTAAGCAATGGAGTTAAGTGACTTGCCCAGGGTCACGCAGCTAGTAAGTGTTATGTATCTGAGGCCACATTTGAACTCAGGTCCTCCTGAATCCAGGGCCAGTGCTGTATCCACTGTGCCACCTAGCTGCCCCTCAACTTCCATTTGTTTCCCACAAACATGACTCTTACTTCCCTTATCTAATAAGTCTATCTACTTATTAACTCTTGCGCTCCTGAGTGCTCGCTCTCTCTCTCTCTCTCTCCCTCCCTCCCTCTCTCTCCCTATACTCTTCTCCTTCCATCTTTTACCAGACCTGTAATTTCATCCATATAGAGAACTCCTGATTAGGAACTTCCTTTATCAAAACAGAGTAGCACCTTCCATGAATCTTAGAATCCTAAAACATTGCTTGGCACAATGAGAGATTAAGTAACTTGCCTAGGCTTACCCAGCAATATGATTCAGAAGTAGTCTTCCTGACTCTGAGGCTAGCTTTCTATTCATGATACCATGTTGCTTCCCTATTGATACTTCTTCATTTCCTTTTTAGCAAGCCTGTAGAGGAAGTTCAGGACTTTCTAAGAAGTAGAGGGAATTATATATAGAAAAAATGACTTATGTTTTCTCCTCAAAATCATAGAGAGTAGTTGGGTGCAGGGCAAGGCAATTCTTTATACCCCAGAACTGTGGTTTAGTTTCTTTTTTCTGCTTTGTTTTGGGTCTCAGTCCATTGCCCCGTTGCTTTACTGTGGAATGATGAGAAATTGCCCCTCAGTTGCAAATGGCCTCAATTTAAAGATGTTCAACACTTCCCTCAGAATGCAGAATGGAAAGCTATTCAGAAGTCACCACCATCACAAATTAATGTTCCTGTATGATTTTCACAGCAGTTTCCTCAGTCACATTTCCCTCTACTCACGCCAGAATATTGGGAGTCTAAACAAGTTCTTTCATGTGAAAATAAGCATCGTTACCAGCAAATAAACAGAGCTACCATTTGGAATTTCTGAGCTTATCTGGAAAAGTCAGCAAAATAGGCTCACTGGAGGAAAACTATTTGATGATTAAAAAAAAAAGGCAGGGCAGTTTGCCTTTGATATCTAACTTCTAAAGTTGGCAATTAACATCTTCCTCAATATTTCAGATTCTAAATATAACCTATTGTTCAGCAAACAACTCAAATACAGATATTTCATGAGGAGTTTGGGGCAGGGGGAGAGAGACAATTCCAGTCTGCAATATCAATTTGTCAAATTTTATCTTTTGCCTGTTTCTTAAACCCACAATAGCCTTTCTTGTAAAAACCATTTTCTTTCAAATTCATGTACTAATTACATCTAAAAGAAACTAAACTAGTCCATTCATAATATACTTTGTGTAAGTAATCAGTCATCATTTCGTGTAGAGTTCAGGTGAGGTCTAAAATGTTACTGTTGGTTAAGAAACCAGTTCTTTACGTACACATGCAGTTGGAAATCACTGGTCTTTCAATACATGCAACGCATCAAAGCATATTGAAATACATTGAGGGGCAGCTAGGTGGCACAGTGGATAGAGCATTGGCCCTGGAGTGAGGAGAACCTGAATTCAAATGTGACCTCAGACACTTACTAACTGTGTGACCCTGGGCAAGTCACTTAACCTCGATTGCCTTGAAAGACTGACATTCAGTGGTCACATAAAGCAGATGTAAGCAAAAATCCTGTTGTTTTAGAGCTGAGACTTTGTTCACAAGGTAGAGATACTTTATTTGTGCTGGTAGTGACAAGTAGCATTCATTCATGTTCGCATTAGTTTTCCATACTGAACCTTGGTGAAAAATGTTGAAATGGAACATCCCGGCATCCTTGTGGTTTTAGTGGATTTTGCTGTTGATGATGTTCTCTGGTTGAAAAGAATGGCTCCAGGGAGCAGCTATGTGATACAGTGGATAGAGCCCCAGCCTTGGAGTCAGGAGGACCTGACTTCAAATCCAGCCTCAGACACTTGACACTTATTAGCTTTGTGACCCTGGGTAAGTCACTTAACCCCAATTGTCTCACCAAAAAGAATGGTTCCTGAAAAACCTCCATGGCAAATTGTTTTCTGATATGGATCTTTTTTGTTTAAAAACATTCACTGAAAAGCTCCTTCTAAGCCTCCTAAGAAGTTTCTTTACTCAACCCTTTTATAATCTCTTATTGATGAAATGTGGACATACTGAGGGTCTTCAGTGTTAAAGCCATCTGTCAAGTCAGTTTCAGGTTGCACTGGAAAATGTAAGCAAGGTATTAAAAATACAGCTTATCTCTCATTTCTTGTATTAGTTTGGCCAGTTCAATAGTACCACGATCGACTTCTGGACTTGCAGGCTGCTGAGGTGGAGGATTGGGATCACTCTGCAGGAAAGATACAGATGTGTTCTCCCTAGACATCCTTGTCAGGCTTGGGGAGGCCTGGCCTTTAGACAGAAAGGGGCAGATTGATGACAACCCCCACCCCTGAATTTTGCTCTGGAGGGTGGCTGGCAAGCAAAGAATGGTTCTGGGACAGCGGCCATGGAGGAGTGCATGGCATGGACAGAATGTGGGGACCTGGCAGGAGACCTCAGCAGTGTCTGGCCTCCCATCTGCTCCTTTGAGCTTCTCCTCTCAGGCCCAGAGATTTTAAGTGACTTGCCCAAAGTCACAGTGAAAGAGCTAGAAAAAGTCATTCCCTCTCTATCCAAATCCAGCACATTTTTCTGTTGCCAGTATAAATTAGTCTGTTTCTGGGGAACATCTAAATAAGATATTGGAGATGGTTTTTGTGGTCATTAACCTTTTTTTTTATGTCATGGATCCCTTTGGTAATCTGATAAAACCAATGGATCTCATCTTAGCATGATGGCTTTAAATACATACAAGTACATATGATTAAAAAGGAAACCAATTAAATTGAAATACATTTATCAAAAAAAAAAGTTCATAGGCCCCAGGGTAAGAACCTTTTTATAAAGGGGAAAAACTCTACCTTGAAGGTATTTGGGGTTTAAATTCATTTATATGAGTCTCAACTCCATTGAGCCTATAAAAAAAATGTGAATAGTAGGGTTAACATGGAGAATGAGGGAGGTAAGATGGGAATAGGGTATGGAAGGGATGGAAGGAAGGAAAGAGACAAAAAGCGTGTTTATTAATGACAACTATGTGTCAGACGCCATGCTAAGCAATTTTCAAATATTGTCTCATTTGATTCTCTCAACAATCCTGGAAGGTAAGTGCTATTATCCCACAGTTTATAGTTGAGGAAACTAAAGCAGAGAGAGATTAAATGACTTCCCAGGGTTACATGGCTAGTGAGTGTCTAAGGCTGGATTTCAACTCAGGTTTTTCTGATTCCAGACCCAAGACTTCATTCATTTTATCATAAAGCTGCCTGGCAAACATATATAGAGATAGAGATAGAGATAGATATAGGTATAGATATAGATATAGATATAGATATACATACACATATACATATATATACACACATATACATATATATACACACACATACATATATACACACACATATACACACATACATATATCTATACATGTGTATACATGTATGTGTGTATGTATACACACACACATATGTGTATTTGAGGTGGAATATAACCATAGAAACTGCCTTGTTTCCAGAGATCAGATCAGTAAAGGAAACATACTGAGTGTCATTATCTTAGGCAGGATTTATGATCATCCCTGAGGATGATTGAATAATAGGAAAGTAATTCTCTCCCCTATTACTGAGTCTATTTATTCTGATGACCCCCTATTCCAAGACTATCTCCACTACAAAGACCTTGGAATGTCCTCATAAAATCACGACATTTTAGCATTGACTGGGACAGCAAATAGTTTTTAAACCAGAATCCCTTATTAGAATAATATTTTCTAAATAATTGAAGGAAATGCTAATTTTCACTTAGAGATTAGTGAAAATAAAGATGTAATTTTTTTTTCCCTTTCAAGTGCATGGATACCCTGAAATCTATCCATGGATCCATGTTAAAAACCTTCAACCTAAACCAATTCTCTCATTTTACAGATAAGGAAAGGTACAGGGACTCGCCCAAAGTCCCATAGTTAATACATAGTAGAAGTAGATTAGAACCTGGGTCTACTGACCCCTGGTCCACTACCCTTTCTCCTATATTACACTGTTTCCCTCCCGGATCCCACTGTATTTCCGTCAGAC